AGAACTACTGATGCTTCCGTTTGAGACATACTGATTCTTTTTTTCCCTGGGTTTGTGGATGAGGGAATTTTGTGACCTAGCAATCCACAAGTCTTTGAGGGGAAACTTGTATAAGGTACACAAACATTCAGAGTTTCAGACCATCTAAAAATCAGTCTTGATCCTCTAGGTGTGAACTCTGCAGGACGATCTTTCAATGTATCTAATCAAGTTTAGAATTCTGTTTGTTTTTTCCTCATCAAATAAAACTAAAGCCTTCTTACTGAGTTGGTAATTAAGTTGGGGTTACAAAAGTATTCTGAAACTGATCATTAAGTCCCTTTTCATTAGGGACAGGTGTTATACTTGTAAGTTCTAGTTTCTCTAATGAATGGGCAGAGCTCCTGCCGTCCATTTCAAAGAAGAAACTAACAGCTGAAATATTAAATGTAGACGTAAGCAATTTGCTTGCCAAGTCAGGTGTAGGACATCTTTACACTTGGTATTGGCTTATGTAGCTTTGTTAGCTTTAGTTGATTTAATCTATCCTCTGCTCGTGATTGGTGTTGATGATGACTTGAGAAAAAATCAGATTATCTTGTCAACCGTTCTAGGTGTTGATGGTTCTGTACAATTTGACTTCAATAATGTTACCGCACAATTGGACTTTTATGGTGTTGCCTGCAATTTGACTTTTATGTTATATTGGAAGTGCAAATTCAATGAACAGTGGTAGTTGCATGCTGTGTTTACAACTAAGAAGTGAGGATTATGCCACAAAATGATTGTTTTTCAAGCTACATAGCTTGAAAAACGATCTTATATTGTGGGACGGAAGGAGTATTAGATTATAACCTATATGTATTCTTCGGTCTTGATTAGAAGTATAACTAGTTTGCTCAGATATTTTCAGAAACCTCACCCTTGCTCTGCTTTTTTTTTGGGGTGAACTGGGAACTTTTTTGTGTTAACTTCTGGTCAGTTGATTGATATCTACTAAGAGCTACAGTGAATTTGATCTTTCAAAGTATGTTGCATCACTTCATTTGAAACGAAGGACATGGAAAGAAATGATGGCAAACAAAATAGGATATTTGTCATGCATATTTGAATTTCAGAACTAAGAAAGCATTTTCCATGCCAGATTGCTGAAGATGGGAGCTCTAGATGTATCTAAAGTTGTGCAAGGTCGCCAGGGATGGCGTCTGATTACGTGTATCTGGCTCCATGCCGGGGTTGTTCATTTACTCATCAACGTGCTTTGCCTTCTATTTATTGGTATTCGACTTGAACAAGAATTTGGGTTTGGTAAGTGAAAGCATTGTTTGCATTTTTTGCCTGAGCCTTCTTGAATTCAACAAAAAGGAACAGATCAAAGTTATATACTATCAATTGTTTTCCAATGGCCCTGGTTCTGTTATAACTGGACTGGCAAGCTTCTTTAGATAAATTTCTTGTAATGAAATATCGCTTCATGGATCCAAGTCTCTAGTAGTCTACAGACATTTTACAAATAACATCATATGTTCTGTATCTTCAATAGTGGAACCAAAAATATCAGGATTTTGTAACCGCGCGGATAAGCTACCTAGACTGAACCAAGAGGCACCATACTGTACTAGTGTACACAACTCCTGAAATACAGGAATACCTCAAATTATCCTATCTATATCACTGATTAGTTTACGAAAAGTTCCAAGAATATGCATGAAAGTTCATCCAAGTTCTAGTTTAATTGATGAAATAGATATGTGTGCGGTTTAAATGCTTCTATGCCTTACAGTACTGAAGATTTTTTTTTTATGTTCATGGTGTACAGTGAGGATTGGTCTTGTTTATCTCATTTCTGGTTTTGGTGGGAGCTTGATGTCTGCTCTCTTCATCCGAGCAAGTATTTCCGTTGGTGCTTCTGGTGCTTTGTTTGGACTGATTGGGTCGATGCTTTCTGAACTCATCACAAATTGGTCACTCTATGCAAATAAGGTTTGTTTTCCTAATATTGCAGTAGACTCTTCAGTAATACGGAGTAGTATAATAGTAGTTGTTGCAGCAAACTGATTCGGTCTTGTCCATCAAGAATGACTTGTTCAATTAAATGGTGTGATATTTCCCCTTATTTTCAGGTGGCAGCATTACTAACCCTGGTACTTGTAATCGTGGTGAACTTGGCCCTTGGGATACTCCCCAGAGTAGATAACTTTGCTCATATTGGGGGTCTTATATCTGGGTTCCTTCTTGGATTTGTTGTCTTCATTCGACCACAATTTGCGTGGATTAACCAGAGAAGAGTAGCACCTGGACCACAAGCTGCTCCTGCTGAACGCAAGCACAAGACGTATCAATATATATTGTGGATAGTTGCTGCTGTTCTGTTGATTGTCGGGTGAGTCTACAGATTTTCCTCTTGAAGCCCCGTTTATTTTTTGACTTTCAAATGTTTTCCCCGTGATGATACCTGTCATCTGAAATTTACAGGTTCACAGTGGCTATAGTTCTGCTTTTCCGGGGATATAATGCGAACGATCACTGTTCTTGGTGCCATTATCTCAGTTGTGTTCCTACTAAAAAATGGAAGTGCAACTCGTCACCGACAACATGCACGGTAAGATAATTGGAAGTTCCTCCCTCTGTATCTTTGGAAGTACTTTTGTCACCGCTAACAAGTGAAATATAACAACCTGAAAAGAAAAGTTACAAGCATATATAGTGGAAAACATCGTTTTTGCGTCTTGCAAAAGCTAACAAGCAAGTTAAACCTACAAGCTGAAGAACCAAATGTGCTTTTGGATCAATATGAACCAAACTCATTTTCTTTGGCTAGACGCTATGGCCAGATGTATCAGAGATGCCCCTTTCACAGTTGAGATTGAGCATGCATTCACGGGACGCCGCTACATGCTAAATGCTAATGCTATTTTCCGTAATTCCATTTCCTTGCAGGCAATGCTACAGGGAAATACCTTGAACTTGACATGTGAAGGCAAAGGGATATACCGGAGCTACATTGTGGCCGAAGCTACGCAAGATAAGATAGACCAGCTCTGCAACCAGCTTTGCAGTTAGGAGAACCGGATTCCCTGAGCTCTCCCAGCTTCTAACATGATTTTTATTCTTTCTGTACATGAAGAGAATACTATTTTAATAGAAGGTTACTTATGGAGGGAAATATTCAGTGTTGCATAGTAGGTTGCTTGTGATTAATCTTGAGAAGTGGTGAAGTGTTGCTCCGATTCCCGGATGGATGGAAACTGAGAGGAAAAGGCCAAGAGGATTAGACCTCTCCCAATGCATTGGTGCTAAAGTGGGGTGCTAAGTGCATTAAAATGCTTAGCAACTAATGTCCCCAATGCATTGGTGCTTAGGTTTTGTAGCTAAGCCTCCTTTATTTAATTGTTTAGCAATAAAACTCCTTCATGTATTGGTTGGTAGTCTTTTTGTCTAGGTCCACGTGCTTAGCATTGGTTCTTATTGGGGTCACCATAGGCCCTTCCCAGTGCTCCACGGTGTACAGGTGCTAAGGGTGCTACATAGGCAGAAATATGATGTGGCAAAGCATTTAAAGAGGAGAGAGAGCATTATGGTGACCCCAATAAGAACCAATGCTAAGCATGTGGACCTAGACAAAAAGACTACCAACCAATACATGAAGGAGTTTTATTGTTAAACAATTAAATAGAGGAGGCTTAGCTACAAAACCTAAGCACCAATGCATCGGGGACATTAGTTGCTAAGCATTTTAATGCACTTAGCACCTCACTTTAGCACCAATGCATTGGGAGAGGTTAATGCTCTCTCTCCTCTTTAAATGCTTTGCCACATCATATTTCTGCCTATGTGGCACTCTTAGCACTTGTACACCGTGGAGCACTGGAAAGGGTCTTATGATTCATGTGTTGTAAGAGGAACTCCAACGCACCGATTCAAACGGATGGTGGTTTTGTCCACTTTTTGTGCGGCCCGGCGGACACCCATGCCTGATTTCGCGTTTGGGTCGGCGCTTGCGCCCAACACTGGCCCAATCCATTTTCCAGGTCGCACGAAAAAAAACATAACGCAAACATTTTGGAAAAAACATGAATTAAACATTAATGCTGGTCACAAAGGCCGGCGAGAGTCCACGAGTCCACTTGCATTAACTAATAAAACATAAATAAAATTAAAAATACGAGGAGGTGCGCTGCTCTAGGCGTCCTCGTCATCGTCGGGGCTAGTGAGGTCGATGAGTGTTGGCACCGGGCCAACCCAAGAGAATGCCGGTGACCAGGCTATAGCGACGTCGTTCGTCGCGGGTTGTACCGCCGCCGCCGCTGGCTGGGCTGGCCCAGCGCTGGCAAGGCGCACCTCCTCCTCCGCCTCGCGCTCCTCCTCCTTTGCGTCGCGCTCGAGTACCTCGAGGTACTCACCCTCGCGGCGCTCCTCGGCTAGCCGTTGCTGCCGCCACTTCTCAAGGTAGGCCTGCTCCTACGTCGGTATCGCCCGATACCAGACTGGTGGCGCGCTGACCCACTCGCGCACTTGCCCGATCCATCAGTAGCGCTCGATGGGGGTCGGCTCTAGCTCCGGCTCAGGCTCGGCCTTGACGGGGGACGGTGGCCTCAACGCCGGCACGACGCGGTCGATGGCCGCGAAGAGCGCCATGGCCTCCGCCATGCGCGCCTGGTACGCCGCCTTCTCCTTCTCCTCCCGACGCCGCTCCTCCTCCTCGCTTTCACGGGGGACGGCGGCCAGCGCCACCTGGTAGGCAGCCTCTGCCTCCTGGTCCTCGTCGCACACGACGAGGGGCGGCAGTGGGGAACCATGGCGCACGTCGCGGACGTTGCGCCTCCTGGCCTCCTCGTGCTCGAAGGCGAACCATTGCTGCCATGCGGGCGGGTCGGACGCGTACGCCAAGTCACGGCGCAGCTCCGGCGTCAGTAGTTGCCTTCGGCGCCGCACCTCCTCCGCGTGCGCCCGCGGCACCCGCAGCGCTAGTGTCGGGCGTGCGGCAGCGTCAAGTCGGGGAAGGGGAGGGG